ATTAACCCAATCTTGTTCGAACGTGCTACGATTAGAGCAGGTTTGGCCACAACCTTTCTGTTTATTTCCGATATTTGTAAGGGGTCTGTCCCCGGGCGACGTTGAGGTTGTTCGGGAATGGCTGATGGTTCTAATCGGAACTGCTACAACTGCGGGTTATATGGGCATTTTGCCCGATGGTGTCCTTATCCGCGGCGAAATGATGGTCAAGGCGACTCTCAGCAGAGACATGATGGCGGTTACATCTAGGGACGTCCTGTGTATAACACGTACGCGCCATCGGCTCCACCACTCCCATCAGCTCCTCCACTACCTCCTCCTCTTCCTCTCCCTCCCCAGTTATCATCTCAAGGATCGCGGCCGCCGTTGCTTCAAGTACCATCATCGATTGGGTCGACATCGAATGTTCCAGCGGCCTCAAATGCGATCGTGTCAGCACCTAGTAATGCCATTGTGCCATACCAACCGCCACGAGGTGTTCCTGGCGGGACTACTGCAAGGGGATGGAATCGTCCACGGGAGATAGGATCAGATGGGGAAGCCATGATGATCCTGAGGGAGATGTGGAACGATAAAAGAGAAGAGAGGGAAAGAAGGCGTGAAGATGAAGACATACGTGTTAGGGAGGAACAGGCCAAGCTGGCCCACGAAAAAGAAGAGCGAAGAGTCGAAGCTGAAGAAAAGAAAGAGGCTGATAGAGAGGCCAAGATGGCACGGCTGGTTCGCGAATAGTTTGAAGAGATGGAAGCCAAGAAGGGAGGTGCTTCCGGTGAAATTAGTAAGAAAGTTTGGGAGAAGGTAGAAAAAACAGAGACATCTCTGAAGGTAGATGCGAACGACAAGAATAGCGAAGGACCTGATAATCGGAAGAGAGACCAAGTTACGATGTCCGACAACACTCCTGTACCGTAGCAGCAGACTATGGGAAGACAACGTGTCGACGCTGAAGCCACGCAGCTAGACACTGGTCTCCTGCGGATGGACCTGGATAATGTGAGAAGGGCGCAGGAGTCACACTCTCTTCTGTTTCAGGAAATGTTGAATTGCTTGAAGACGATTAAGGAGCAGGGAGCTGCACTTCTGACCCCGCCAGCTGTCCCACCGCATCCGCTACACCATGTCCCACCACCTCACAACCCTGCTCCTCCTCCTCCTCCCCCTCCTCCTCCTCCTTAGCCACATCATCCTTCCCATCAGCCCCCTTCTCCCCCTCCTGCTACTGCTACGCAGGCTGCTCCCCAGCATCCCCAACATCCACCTCCTCCACCCGTTGCCCCGCAACCAACTCCAGCTCCTCCTGCACCTCGCTCCCGTCATCCACCTCCTCCTCCTCCTTCTAACCCCCCTGTCTCCAGAAGGTCGTGTGCGGAAACTGAACCTGGACCGTCCAGAGGGAGGAATGCTTTTCCTGTAACCCCTGCAGGTCATGGGTTTTCAGCGCGTCTTGCCGGGATGTTTGCATCTGTCGCAGGCAATGGTCCAAGACGCCGCTCGTCAGGAATCTCCATCAACGAAGGAGCATCTCAAGATCTGGGATTCGACCGTATCAACCGCGGCAAGAAGGCTGTTGTCGCTGGTCCGGGAAAAGAAGGGAGAGAGAAGTACATTGAGGATTTGATTTATGAGCTCATGCTGAAAACTAAGCATGAATTGGAGGAGCTGTGTAAGAAAGATCGCATCAAGTATGTGAATAAGAAGATCACCACCGCCGCCCTCGCCAAGCTTCGTGCCATCGATGCTTATGGAGAAGATGAAGATGATGAAGACTCTGAGGAGGATACTCAAGAAGAGAATCCTTCTTGATAATTTTTAGTTCTGCCATCAACATGGAAGTACCTGGAGCAAGTCAGGAATCAGAGGTGCATGGATGGATGGCGTGGCACAAGTGTCGCTGGGATTGATGTGCTTATGCGATTTCTTATTCTGACGTTGGTCTGTTTTGGTCAGTTGCATTGGGCCGAAAAGTTTGTGGGATGTTGGGTGCACTCACTGAATAATGGTATTGATATTTGTGGTTGGAATGGCCCGTGTGTCTACGTTCTGATATCTCCCTGGTTCAAAGCATCCTATATTGGTTCCACGACCCGTCCTTTGAAGTCAAGATGGGATGAGCATGTTAGGTGGTCTTTACACTCAGAGGACGGTCGTAACCATAAGCTTAGAAGATGGTTCAAACGGAACGGTTGGTCGAGTTACGTAGCCATTCCTATTGCGTTTCCGCCTCTGGAGGAGATTAGGGAAGTGGAAGAGGCCATGATTTCTAGATGGTCACTGACACTTAATTGTGTTAAGAAGAGGAGAACCCCTTGTCGACGCAAAGGGCGAAAGGAACGTAGAGCTTTTTTGAAAAAACAGGGGGCCCATAAAGCTCCGAAGGGACAGGATATTAAATTCGTTGGCTGGGATGTGTCATCTATTTTTGTACCTATCCCCCAACCTTGGTCCCCTCCTTCCCCTTCTTTTTCCATCATCAGAGTCTTTAATAGACTACTCGAGGACGAATCTATTCATGCGAATTTGCTAAGTACTGGTGGTGACATCTTCTTGGACTCGTAGGGTAAGGTGAAAAGACTGTTCGGTTGGACCATCGTTGAATTAAATAGTAAAAAATATTTGCTGAAAGATTTGAAATTCGAAATGTTGAATGGAGGTATCTTTCATATTTTGAGTCTGAGACGGAGGGCTAACATGTCCATTTTTAGGCGTGATATCCTAGCCTCCCTACTTCAGGTGCCGAGCTGCAGAAAGGATCTGAATAAGTCTAGTCTTCACCATTTGATTAAACTCTACAACTCGATTGAGGTGTTCCATAGGGAAAAATCCCGGACTATCCTTAAAGGGGTAGTAGGAAGAGCTTTGACGACTGTGTGCGGGTTTCGCTGTCTAGCCCCAACGGTCGTAAAGATGATTTTCGATGACCAGATTCGAAAATCCATGGTTGGTGATCTGGTCAGATTGATGATTCGGAAACGGTGTTCCGACAATTTGGTTGCTGAATTCCTGATCTCGAGACTCAGGATAGTTTGGACCAAGAACAAGTCTGTGGGTGATATTCTACACAACCATAGGCGCATGGCTAAAGAATGCCCTAAAGTATGTTCGTGTAAAAGAAGCAACTTGTCCTTTCCCAGAAATAGTGAGGGGCATGTTAGCTTCAGATTTTCGGAGTTTTGTGAAATCCCACCTTCTTTGAGAAATTCTAGGAATGTCCTCCGCCCTACCAAAACTCAGTCTGTCGGAAGGATCAAGCGAGCTATCGCTGAAGGTTTGGCACATGTCCCGAGCAAGGATGGATGGGTGGGCAGTTCGAGAATGGTCCAGTCCTGTTTTACTGATGGAACCACTAGTTATTCGTGGTCTGAAGATCAGGCTGTAAAATGGAAGGAAAACCTTGTTGATTTGGTCGTCTCACCAATAGATCACAACATAGGTGACACCTATGTGTGTTGTTCATCTATCTACTTTGATGCATTGGCGAAGCTCTATTGGGAGAACGAGGGTTTTGAGATTATTGACAGAAAGGAACAGGAGGTTTTGTTGACCTGCAAGGAGGAATTTTTTGCGATCCATGCACAGATGTTGGCGCCTTGGGATGGACGTGGGTCTCTGGGTTCGGTATATGGCATATTGAAACACAAGGATGTAGGTAGGTGGCGACCTATCGCCCGTCTTTCTCTGAACCAAGTGTCCGAGCCTGCAGGATTATTTCTAAAGCTATTAATGGGATTCTTTGGAGGATCCCGGAATCCTACCATTTTAACTTGAGGAGTACGAACGTACTGAAGAAACGGGTTGAGAATCTTAATACGAAGGCAAAGAAATTCCCTAACGGATTGCTACTGTCAGTCAGCTTCGATATCAAAGAGATGTTCACTAAGCTTCCGCATGACGCCATCATTCAGGCTGTTGAATGGCTATGCGACTTTTTTTATTGAGAAGGGTTATAATGCGATTAGAGTTAAACCACCAGTACTTGGCCCAGCTATTGAAGCCGAGCCTGAATATGCCCTGCGCGCCAATTTTTGCCGAGCCTGCGGGGAGTGGGACAAAATACGGGACATCTGCTGCTGCAAGCAGGTACCGCCCCTTCCTTTAGACCTGCTGCTAGCAGATGGAACGTAAACAGGTCGTCGTTTTCTTGTTTCCACTCACGCATTCAATGCTCCCGTGAAGGATCTTCTTCCAAAAAAAAAAAGCCAAAAAAAAAAAAGAGAGAAAAGTGAACGCCGTGCAGCAGTGAAGCCAGATACATGCGTCGAAGTTGCAACGTTACACTGCCTCTGGGACCTGAGGCAATGAATGCTCCCGGTCTCTCACGGGGAGCAACTGCAAAAACAGCCAACTATCTTATTATAAAAAAAAAAAAAAAAAAACGGAAAGGGGGAAACGGGAAACAGGCATCTGAACGTGATTGGCCTGAGATTCATACAACGCCGTGCGGCAGTGAAGCCAGATACATGCGTCGAAGTTGCAACGTCACACTGCCTCTGGGACCTGAGGCATTGAATGCTCCCCGTCTGTCACGGGGATCAAGTGCAGAAACAGCCAACGATCTTTACCAAAAAAAAAAAAAAAAAACGAGAAGGGGGAAACGGGAAACCAGCATCTGAACGTGATTGCCCTAAGATTCATATAACGTCGTGCAGAAGTGAAGCCAGATACATTCCTTCCCCCCCCCCAAAAAAAAAAAAATGAAAAGAAAGGAAATCAACCATCTATCTTTATTTTTTCCTCGTCCGTTTTCTTTTTCGTTTTTTTGCCTCCTTGCTACAACTGTCCGCGCGTTTCCACATAGCACACCACTAGGACATCGTGTAGTCCTTTTGCCCCGTTTCCATGGGGCCACCAGCTCCCTCCCCCATCGCCATGCCAAGCCTTTGCCGAGGCGCAGGAAACGTATAGCGTTAACGCTAAGGGCCCGCGACCGATGTATGGGCCAAGTACTGGTGGTTTAATAAGTCCGGTAAAGGCACTGCACTTGGGAAAGCCGACGGGGAACGAGGATGGAGTAGGGTCAAATTCTGTGATATCATCAGATTTGTTCAGTTTGATCTTGGTCGCACCTTCTCAAAGATCTCCTCTCTAATCATCAGACAACTGATAGGCATTCCTATGGGAAAAACTTCTAGCCCTGCACTTGCTTGCCTCCTGTGCGTCTACTACGAATTCTCCTTCCTAAGATCGTTAGGAAAAGACCGGATTTTGATCCAAGGCATTAGGCTTGTTGACGATGTAGCACTGTTTTTATTTTTGCCCAATCGAACCAAGGATGCATTCGAGAAAGCTAGTAGTATCTATCATCGGTTCCTCTACCTATACTATGAAAACCTTACTCTTATTCGAACGGATTCGCGAGACGGAATTTGGGGTTTGTGGGATGTAGGATCGAATGCTGCTGCATTCATTCGTTCGTTCATTGAGCCTGGAGGCGCCTAGCGCATGCGCGGCCAAACTTCGGCGCTGGGACATACCGCATCACAGGCTGATGCGTGCTATGCCCCGACCCCCTATCTCCTAGGTGGGGGTTCCACGTGGAGCTCTGCAGCCGCCACGTTTCCGGCACGTGGCAATCGGTGCTGACTCGGACGGACACACAATGGAGTGTGCCTATGGTGAGACCAAAGTGTGGGAAGACAAGGACAAGCCAACCAAGGAAGAAGTGAGTAACGCGTAAGTCAGTGACAGCGTCCAACAACGGGAGGGACGGCTGGGAAAGGGACTGGCGAGCAGTGGAGGAAAAGTCCTGGACATGACAATTTTGGTTGCATAGGGACAGGGGAAGACGCTGAGTGGTCTCGCCCACGTGGCAGGAGCGGAGGGACAATTTTAACAGCCAGAAGTGGCGTCGTGAAGTAGGAAAAGTGCGACTCCGGGAATCCACGACAACAGGCGGCAAAACGGCAGTACAACACCCTCTGCCCCTCAGCCCCCCCCCTCCCCCCCTCTCCACCTCCCCTCCCCAACGTTTCCCCAAGCCAGCAACGACCAACCTAAAAAAGAGAGAGAAAGAAATGAAAGTAAATCAGTCAGGTTAAGCAATTGCATCAACACACACACCGTACAATCGCGAAAATACACAGAACGAACCACGAAAATAACAACCCCACAGAACCCTGTGGAGCGTAACACACAGCTCCGCCGCACTTCATTCACGTGCATAGCCTGCAAATCCCTCTTGGCCATGGAGCACGAGGCTGATCAGGGCCTCCAAAAGAGGCGGTCGTCGCGCCTCTTCTTTTTTATAAGGGGGCGGCACGGCACGACCCGGCTAGACAGCTGGCAGTGTCTCCATATGGAAGACCGATAGCCAGAGGGTCCCCCCTCCCTCGGCCAGTCCAACCAGCGCACCCAGATCCACACCCATTGGATCGAAATCGCTGGCCAAGTTTGACCGAAGCGTTCAAAGAGCGCCTCGCCCCGATTGAGCAGACTCGACCATCGCTGCCCCCACCACAACCCTCCCCCCTCCCCTCCCGAGAAAAGGCAAATTACGAGGAGGAAGACAAATCACCGATTGGAGTGGTAGGAGGCGGCAATGATACACAGATGGAAGATGAGAGTGGAAGTGAGGAGGAGGAAGAGGAGGCGGAAGAGAACAGAGTGGAGGACGAAGAAATGCTAACCGAGGAGGAAAAGAGTGAAAGCGGGAAACAAACGCAGATAGTGGGGACGAACAAAAACGACAAACACGGGGGACAGAAGCCCACCTGGGCCCAGCGCGTGAGAACAACAATTCAAGAAAAATTTCTGGACATCCGACGCTCCGTTCAAGACTCACAGCAGGGCCAGGAAGAGACCCAAAAAGTACCCCTCCGCAACCTCTCGTCGGTGAGGGCGTACTTTTTAACCCTCTTCC